GGGTTCATTAAGTTCATGTGAGTTGGACAATGGGCTTATGTAAGTGGTCAAGATGTTTCCTGTTTTTAAGTACATCTCAGGGTGTTCTCTCCCGAAACTGGAGACAGGAAGCTAGGTTCAGAAATTGACGCAACAGCAGCTGCTGATAAAAGAGTGAGCCTGAAAGAGAGAGGATGACCATGCTACCGTGAACAGTGTACCACAAGCCCGGCCTTGGAGGGCTGGGGGGAGACGACGCCTGACTGGGGCTGACAGGGGAACCGACTCGAGACTGACAACAAATGACTTGACTGACTGGTGCTCTGACAATCTTCTTATGCTTTATCTATTCCATTGCAAGAGGAGAGTCTCTGTTCTCTGATCTCTGTTCTCTGTTTCCCTAACTACAAGATTATGTGTTTAAATACTACTCTATTCAGAATAATTGTAATATTAAATGATCCTTTAAATTGGGATGGTTTGTATGAATGAATTTAGTCGGTATGACACTCTAGCCACGACATAAGTAACTAAAGGCTACATGTTGCAATGTGAGATGGGGCAGCGTCTGGGAGGGGGGGCTTTGTCGAACAGATTCTCTACAGCAGCAGGTTTATTACACATGTTTACAGCTGTATGAGCTCAGTATGATGCATGTTGTTGTACACTGAGGAGCACTGGCCTTGTTCACCGGTTGTACACCAGAGGCACTGCTGGTGGGTTTGCCCCAGGCAAAAGCCTCTTCAATGTCTGCTGCAGTCTGTCTGTGGGGATTTCCTCTGAGGAAACATTGTCTTACTAAAGCGTGCGTGCATACTTTGCGCCTGTCCCTTTGCTTGGTGGCACTGAGTGGAAACCCAAAGGTCAACAAGATTCACTGCAGAGATGTGACAATCCTCAAACTGCAGCAGTGAGAAGCTGCAGACACGTGATGGTCTGTACAGGTGGTAATTTGCTGTTAGAAACAGTCCAGAGGTCAAATTTGGACAAATAATAGAAGTAACCCTTTGTCTGAGCACAGCTTTAGAAGGTACTCAGAGCAGGTGATGCTGTTTCTCTGGTAACCCCTGGTCATGTGACTCTGACCTTGCGTGCCGCAGCAGTCGGTGTCATTTAATTCTTCATAAAGCTGTTGTATGTACATGTTGTATGCTGTTATTCAAACATGTGAAGAAATAGAAATGTAAAAAGGAGACAGTGGTTTTAACCAGAGTTCGCATCTCAGCCCACGACAGGTGGACCGTAGGTTAGCTCAGCAGCAAGATACAACACATACATCAAAGACGTGGAGGCAGTGGGCGGTGGATTTTACCTCTTGTGATGGAGCTATGCTAACAGTTTCCCTGTTTCCAGTCTTTGTGCTAAGCTAGGCTAAAGCAAACAGGAGTTCACATGGCTCTGTTTGTTTCCTATGATGTAAACAAACCTCACCTCTCCACGTGACCTTTTGGCCTTTGTGTCAGCCATCTTGGCAGGAATTCCCTCTGAAGCTCTGCTCACATCTTTGATTGCTGGGGGGTGGAGGGTGACAGCAGTGGATGTGGAGGAAGGGATGCGGGGGGTGTGTCACCTCTGCTGGCCAATCAGACCCAGACTCAGGGTGATGCACAGCTGCCATATATGGGGCAATGGGGGTGGGGCGAGCGACCTCAGATCTGCATGGGGAACGAGAGAGAGAAGACTATGGGTGGTAACCGTTGCCCTGACAGAAGCCTCGCTCCTTCTGCGACCCATCTAGATGCCCTAAAAATAACCTCCACTGCCATGATAAACACTAGCGGTGAGACTGCATCCTGCCATGGCACCTATCTCCAGTTGCTGCCAAGCGGTAGTGAAACATCTGGATATCCTGAAAATATTCTCTCACTAGCCCTTTAATTAAGTCTGGTACTTTAAAATAAGCTAGTGCTTCCCACAGTAGGCTATGTGGTACAGGAGCAAAGGCATTAGAGAGATCTAAGAGCACCTCATGCAAATCTGTTTTTCCCTCTTTGCTGACTGAATTTGATGGCAGATCATGCTTATGTGCTCCATGCATCCAGAAAAACCTGGCATTCCGGCTTTCCGCACCGAGGCATTGAATGAGCTTATTCGTTTCTAGATAACTGGACAACCTCTGGGCTACTACACGGAAGAAAATCTCTACAAGGGGCGTCAAACCGTGACGCCACCCGATAAGCAAGCTTTGCAGCTGCTCTGTCGTTTAGCCAAAACATGAGGCAAAGTCAAGGTGCGTGACTGTTGTTTTCGTGGTGTGTATCTAAACAATGGGACATAACCTTACACTTTAAGACAAATATTAAGACTAGCATTACAGTTGACCCTAAAAGCTCTTTTCCTGTAACCTTGGCGTGCCTGCAATTTTACTGCAGGCTAATAGTTACATCAAACTAGTCACCCTGTCTGCACTAAACATCTTCTAATACAACAGATCTCTAATCCATATCTATCTAACTAAGAAATAACCTAACACTTACTTCTGAATCTTTGTCTTTGGGGAAAAATCCCTCCTGCTCTTCTCAATAGCTTAGGAACGAGCTGCTTCATCCATGCTGCTCTGATAAGCCTCCACAAAAACCTCAACTTCTCTGAAGCATGTTTATTTAGCTTATAGGACACGCCATTAGGCCCGAGGGCCCATCCTGCTCTTGCTCGCCTAACTACAATTTCCACTTCTCTCAGCGTCGGTGCTTTAGTGTTCAGAGGCTGTTCTACTGCCCCAGTGGGGGCCACATCTATTGGCAGACCGAGCTTCCTGTCCCTACCTTCATCTGCATGCATCTCATCTAAGTACGCCTCTAGTTGTCTCCTAGGCACTTTCGAGGTGCTACTTTTCCTTACTAAATGGTGCCTTGGTGAACGCATATGGATCCTTATAAAAACTGCCCTAGCACATTCCTTTTCTGTCTACCTTTCCTAAGCCTTTCTGTTCTCCTTAGATTTGCCAACCTAGATTTCAGGTCATTTAGCAACGTGTTAATACCCTCCACTGCTTTCTAAGCTGTCGTTGTTGAACCAGCACATCAATCTGCTGCCACCTTGACTTCACTGCTGCTTTATTTATACTCAAGCTCCAAACCTTTGCACTTTGTATTCATCAATTCAAAAATTCATAAATGTTGGGGAGGCGACAGTGGTGCGGTGGGTAGAGCAGTCGTCTCCCAACCAGAAGATTGAAGGTTCAAATCTCAGTGCCGGCAGTCCACGTGTCGGAGTGTCCTTGGGCAAGACACTGAACCCCCCCGTTGCCCCCGATGGTTAGAGCCATCGGTTGAGGTGGCACCGCAGATGGCAGCCATCGGTTCTATACCGGAAACAAATTCCTTGTGTGTAACATACTTGGCCAATAGAGGTGGTTATCTCCTTATCCTCATAAATGACATCTCCCATTTTCTCTAGCTTCTTCTCAGCTGTCCCCTTCAGTGCTCCTAGAGCATCTACCAGGTCTGAGTTGCCCATATGCCCCTCTCACCAGGCCTAGGCCAGTTCATTTTGGGTTTCTGCCCCATTAGTTTGGCTGAGTAAATCTGGAAAGAGGTCACATGACTCTGGAGCCACTCAGGTGTTTTAAGAGAAGCATTTTCCCTTAAATCTGTTAAAATACCAACACCTTTAGGTTAAACGCTTGTTTTAGGGGTAAATTAAGGATTAATTAAGAGTGCGTTAAGGAACTATTTTGCACGGTGTTAATACTCAACTCATTTTAAATACAAATTCCTCTAAAACAAAAAGGAGTGTATAACCACTCCTTGGAACTGTGTAACAGTTACAAGGAGAGCATTTCCTCCAACAGGTGAATTACCACAGCACAGGCGAACTCACTAGTGGGTGGAGGGTTTTTACATTCGCCCTCCTCGATAGTGACATCATCGATGGCGATATCTCCCTCGATACCAGAGCCTCGGACTCCCTCCATCGCCATCTGCCAGAGAGAAGAGACAGGAAGCTGAGAGAGGCACAGAGAGGGACGGGCAGCACAAGTAAAAATGACTGTTAGTGGTTTTAGAGGTAGATGTAGCAAAACGAACAAAATGACTAACTTCAGTTTCCTGTGACTGCTTCACAATAAAAGTCAGCTGAAGTGTTTTAATGTTGTGCAGCAGCAGCAGTAGGAAGTGCTGTGATAGCACAGCTGGACCCAGCTGTGATCCAGCTGTGGGAGAGTGACTGTCACTCATCACTAACACAGACAACAATAATTATAGAGTGTAAATACTGGTTTGATGAGAATCTGAATGACTAACGCAACAGGGAGTACGAGAGCTTAAACGGTTAATTAATCAGCAATAATAGATAGTAATCAGTAAAATGGCCTGTCAAAAGAAAATTAATAAGCAAATATATTATCCATTACCTGATTGTTTTTCAAGCCAAATGAACATTCCCGAGTCAGAGCCTCTCAGCTGTGAACGTTTCTCTACAGGGTGTAAACGAATCCTTCTGTGTGTGAACGGTTGCTCGGCTAAAACAAGACAGCTGAGGGCGTCTCCTCTGGCTTTAGTCAGCTGTGGAGGGTGTCTTCCCTATTTTTGACAGTTTACATCCCAAATGACTGATCGATAATAATCTGCAGGTTAACTGACAATGAAAATCATCGACTCCCAACATGTCACAGTATGAATCACCCCTGTCCACAGAGTCCTCAGTGCAGAGGGTCTGGACTAAAGTGGATGAGGTCTGTGGTGAGCTGGTTTGTACCTGGAAGGCTACGGTTGGGTGGATGTTGACCTTGGCTTGTCTCCATCGGTCTCCTTGGTTACCGGTCAGACTCCAGACCAAGGTGTCCGTCACCATCTGAGCTTTCTGACGCAGGAACACGTTCAGAGCTCCTGCAGGACAGAAACAACACAATCAGGGATCTTACCTCAGCGCCAGGAGTCCTCCTAGTGCTGCTCCGAGGTCCTCTGCCGTTTCTTACTTCTGAATCGGGTTAGTGGCAGAAATCTTCCCCTATGAAATGGGACGACCCTCCGAGACCCCTGTGTGTCATCACACCCTGTACCTGAGATAGACGTCATGCTGCTGGAGTCTCACCTATGTGTTTCCCGTACATGTGGTAGTAGAAGGCGAAGCAGTATGTGGGGTTGTTGGTGACAGAGCTGGTCTTGGAGTTCATATTGAAGGTGGGAGACAGCAGCCGGGCTTTGTCTCCCTCCAGCCTCGGCCTCGACGTCTCGATGTACATGTAGAAACCTGAAAGACGACAGTGACACAGGCCTGGGTCAGAGGTCAGATCAGAGGTTACCAAGTCCTTAGTGTCAACAGTAGCTTTATTTTTATCATAACATAATCTTAGAGTTCATTTTTTAAATTAATACACTTTTCAAAAGCCTGCTTTTATTTCATGATTGAAATTTTCAAAAAAGCGCTTTTATATCATGACGATGTCCATTTTTATGACAATTACAATATTCTTCATCCTCTTCCAGCCCGGAGGAGCTGCAGCAGGCGACCTCCCTAGACGACAGGTTGTGACTCACACTCTGCATGTAGCTGTGTGGATGTTTTCATGCCGGTGCAGCTGAAAGCACAACCACAGCTGGATGACGGAGACAGCAACTGGCCGCAGGACATCACAGTGTGTACATCCTCCCATAGACACAGGACCAGTGAGTCTGGGGGCGTGGGGCCAACATTACTGTCAGGCTCTGAATGTTCATTATTGTAAATAATTGAGAACCTTTTAAGGTATAAATTAAGAAATGATTTTAAAATAATTTAATTTCAACGGATTGTTAACCCTCAAAACATCCTTAAAATCTCTTATAAATACTCTAATATAACCCATTACAATCCATTAATGTTTCCACAGATTATCCCTTCAAATTCCATTTAAAATACTTTTACAACAATAACATTCTTGGGTAAATGAATGGACATTTAACATACAAAATCAGGGGATTTGCTTTCATAGTGAACACCTAACAGAAAACATCGAGACCGGCATAAGCTCCGAGGCTGCAGCACGACGTATAGAAAACCCATTACTCTGTCTTCAGATGTAGGCGCCAGTCTGTACTCCCTCTCCTCTGATGGAGCTCTTCCTCTATCATTGTTGAACAGCAGTTTCAAAAAGAAGCTCCTGCTCCTGTTTCTGTCACCAGGCCCTGACAAAGGTTTTAACATGTTCTAGTGCTAAAACAATAGCTGCTCTCACAGTGAAGCACTGGAGCTTGTCAAGGAGACAAACTACACTGAGTGTTCAGAAGTAAAATTTACATACGAAACTGTCAGATGTCACTATGTGCCAACTATCTTAGCTCAGGGACAGATGCTGAAGTTGTTTTTATCTGACTAAAAGCACAGTGGACAATTTGACAGACTGGCTTACGACGCCTACTAACGCGTCTGGTTAGTAGTTGGCAGTACACAGATAATTCAGTCAGACATTGGTCTCGCTGCTCAGGCTGTGAAAGTCACTCTGACAGTCGTTTTATAGTCAGCTTGTGTTTGTGACATGCTGTTTTTTTCCTGCTAATTGTTCTGCCTGTAGAGGGAAGTGCCAAACGTCATTGGAAAATGTGGCAACTTATCAGACAGTGTTCATGTGATGACATTTCCCTTTTGGAGGCGTTTGTTCTTCTATTTAAGGACTCGACCAAATTAAACCACCATGTGTCTGACTGTGAAACAGTGAGCTGTTTTTAGCTTCTGATCAATTTGACTGATAAATATTCTAGCTAGCTAACTGCTCTCCAGCTTATAGCATTTCCTTCTATACTTAGGGCTCACAGTTATAGAGGTACAAGGCTGCAGACACCTGTCCTGGTAAACAATTTAATTCATCCAAAAACACAGTAAAGGTAGAAATGCATTTCCATTGTGACTGCTGTTAGCACTGGTTCCTTCTGTCTCTGCCTCGTCATCATTTTTTAGACATTAAGCTGTAGAGAAAAAACATTTCATCAGTAAAATCCAGATTCCCAGACGTTCTACGTCTAGGAAGCTAATTTAACGTATTTTAACTTTACACACTACTGGTCACTTCATATTCTTTACAAAGTCACTTTCTATAATTATGATGTTTTCACAGATTGAAAAAAAAGTGTAGCAGTTTGCTCCTTCACGTTTTGCATCCACTTGTGTTTCTTGATCCCAGAACGGTTATTTTAAAACACCTGGGGTTTGACTGTGGGCGAGCCTACCTTCTCAAGTCTAACATTTTTATATTAACATTATTTTCACCTATATTATTGTCACTGTTTTTAATTGTTTCATGCTGTTTGTTTCCAAACATGCCATACGAACACAGCGAGCTTCCTCTGCACTGATATATTTGCTCTCAGTCACAGTTTCTCTCCCGCTTCTTCCCTGAAACTGTGCAGCAGAACAAAACTCTGCAGCGTGTTTGTCACTCTGCTCTCATTCAGTCAGCGAGGACTCATCTCCTCAGGCTGCCTCGCTGCTGCTTCGATCTTTCAGCCTCGTATTGTGGTGAGAGTGGCATTGTTCATCCTGAACGTCACATGTAAGTGGCAGTTCAGTCCCCGTCTCATCAGTCCTGCACAAATGTTTAACACTCAGTGTCAGTTTTAATCCTCAGCTCACGTCCTACTGTCAGAGCTGCAGGCAACAGCAAGGACCACAAAAACACACTACAGAAGTAAAGTTCACACGGTCAACAGAGCCATGACAGAGCCAGGGTTAGGGTCTGGAAGTCAGATGTGTGTCTGTTCTCAGCTGCCTCCTGACCAGCACTCTGCAAACTGGGAGGAACAAAGGAAGTTTGGAGGATATTTGACATCTCCTCGCTCTGACACAGAAATCACAGCTTAAAAAACAGTTTTGGATATTTTAGAAAATACATCCACTTTCTGGAGGTGAGACAGGTGTTCAGACTGCTACTACTTTGTCTGTCTGCTCCAGGTAAAGCTGCAGCTGATTAGCTTAGCATGAAGAGGCTGGCTTTGTCCAGTGGTACCAGAGCCCCCATTAAATCTCACTAAAAGCCTTTAACAATCTGTACAAAGCTGAGCTCGGATCAGACCAGGACAAACTCCTCCAAAGACAGAAGAAACAAGAGGAAGAGCAGCGGTGGTCCAGACAGGACATAGATAATAACTCAGCTGGTTACCGGCTCCCTTGAGCCTGATACTGGTGACCCTGGAAAACCAGTATCATGACAGTGGTTATCAAGTGGCAACTGGGTTTTTCTTTTCATGAGATAAACGTGTTGGACAGCTGGTGGGAGGCCAACAGGAGAGAAACAGGGCTAAGAGCAAGAGAAGAACGGGCCTTGGGTGTAAATGAAGCCGTATTGTGCTTGTGTGTGCGTGTGTGTGTGTTTGTACCCTGCTTGGAACCGTTGTGGTCGCAGCTCGGCCCGGTGTTTGGGGTGTATTTGGTATCTCGTGAGGCGGCGCTGTGACGTGTCCAGTCAAACTCATCAGTTTTGTCCTGAGAGAACAAACACAACGCCTCGTCCTCGAAACCGCACTGGAACTCCCCTGAACACACACAAATTTGATGCTTCAGTGCATGAGTTTCCATATATTGGATAAAATATAAATATACACATCTTGTTTCTTATTTAAATTGTTTTTCAACATTTATCTCTATCGACAAAAAGCTTTGTTTTGCCTCAACAGAACAAAAACACGTCCACCATCCTTTGGTTGCCGTGAGTGGATTATATGGGAACATCAGAACTAATGAAACGCAGATGAAGCCATTATGTTGATGAAAGTTGCAGAGAGAACAGCATCAGTCCAAATGATCAGCACACAGATGTAATTCTTCTGAGGCAGTTACTTTGGGACACGGTTGATTTCAGCACTGTTTCATGTGCTTCAGTGCGTGTGCATGCTGCATCGGGTGACACCATGTGGAGGTGACGTCATGTGTGTCAGTGCACACAGGTACTTACTGAGATGTGGGTTAACAGGAGCTGTGGAGGGACAAAGGAAAAGAACTGTTAGACCAACAGGAGAAGAGGTCGCGTCAACATTTATGATGCAGAAAGAGTCAAAAACGTTCAAAGGTGGCAGCAAGCGGGAATCTGACCCACCACGTCACGGTACTGGGGCGGCGCTCCACCACTTCTAAAAAACATGTGAAGTGTTGAAGCTATGATTTCTAATGAACAACCTGTGTCCACTCTCCTCTGTCGTGGCTTTGCATCTTAAAATACCCACAGTATCATCTGAATCAGATATTCAGAGAGAGGTAATTACACCCCATGTCAGACACACACACAGTGTGAATGTGTGAACAGCTGCCGCGTCATTTGGCGACGAGCCTCTGCTTCGTTATAAACCAGCCTTCACTGATGAGCTGTCTGAGAGTGTGCGTTCTTGTACTCCTGTCACTGTGAGGGCCATTTTCAAGACCACCTCGACCAAAACACACTCACACGTTAATGCATCAATAACAATGATCCAGTACTGACAGGTCACATCCTGCATCATCAATACTTTGACTCCTGATGAAGCATGTTTGGCTGGGAGTGTTTGTGTGATGGATCTTCTCTGCAGGTTCACTTTCACAGAGATAAATGAAAACCAATGTCTGGCTGGAAGGAAGCAAATCAATCTAAGGACTGATAGAGGATTTAGAGACAATCATTTAAGTTAACCCAAGTGTTTGTGAGGAGGTGTGGTGTGTGTGGTGTCACGGCGGGTTATCAGTGCCTGCTGAGTTAGTGCTACAGATCTGGGACAGTGTAAAGAACAGCTCCCATTATCAGACAAACACCAGGAGCAAAGAAAAGAGGAGCTCTGCAAGGCTTCTCCTCACTGTAACATTTGCTTCTCAACATACAGATAACTAGTTCAACCTGAACTGGTGGAAATGAAAGAGGCGTCACTGTACACCAGGTTTGAAAGCGCCCGTGCTTAGAGCCATAGAGGCAGCATGTCAACACAACATCAGACAGCTCTCATGGACCAACACCAAACTACACAGTTCAATCAGCTGTGAAACTTGACTGAACCCAGGCTGAAGTTATAAATGAAGTTAAACCTGCATGATCTCAGATTTCCCCCACGGTCCGATAACCCCAGCGGTAATGTGGTATCCCTCAGCTACAACCTCCTCCATGAATGAACCTCTGCTGCCTACAGCCTCCTGTTGTTATTCCAGCTTCTCCACCCTGTGTTGTCAAAGTACGGTCTCTAAATCAGCCCCACCTGCTGCCTAGCCAAGGTTAGAAGAAGGGTTTTTCCAGCCAGTAGTCATGTCAAACAGCCAACTAATTCCTCCAGTGAACAAAGGAATGAATGGAAACCTAAGGGTCCCTAATGTCCAGTCGAGCGTTTAGCACGAGGACCTCTACTGGGTAGATGTTGTTTGGGAGGATGCCAAGATGAACAGAACAGGTGGGGTTTGATGCCTAAAGGAAGCACCTGCAGCAACACAGGATGAACAATGAACAGCTGGAGTGTAAATGTGTTTCCCTTCGGTCAGCAGAGGGTGTTTCCTGTTTCTGTGATGGTATGAATGCAGGGAGAAGCCTGTCAGAGCACAGCACAGCCCCACTCTCCACGTGAATTAAACAGATGAGTCATCACAGTTTTTGAGTCTTCAGATCCAAACAGAGGAAGAATTTCCACAATGCAGGACAAGAACAAGCAGGTGGGAGGTCCACTCAGATGAAGCAGAGCCAGCTGCTTTTATTTGGGTGGAAAATGTTATAACCTTAGACTTTGTAGTCACGTGTCAGACCCAAAGGTAATGCACAGCAACAACAGAGGGATGCTTAAATATAAATAAGTCATCAGCCTGTGCACAGAAGATGTGTTTGCATGTGTTTAAAGCAGGAACGTCCGTTTCCCCATCAGTTCCTTGAGTCCCTGCAGCACCTGAACGCAGCAGCAGCGCACGCTGAAGTGTTGTGTTGACTTCACTTTACTCTGAACAAAGTTGTGCAGCTGCTTGACACATGTCAGATGGTCATGTGACCAAACTGAGTGTTGTTAGGTTGGGCAGTTTACGCTTACGGCTTAGGCTGCTGAGATGCCTGAACTTCCTGTTTGAACCCTGCTTGTTTGCTGCGGGGGGTTAACGTGAGGACCAGGACAAAAAAAGGGTGATGAGGACGACGAGGCGAGGGTGACGAGGGAGATGAGGGCGACGAGGAGAGGGAGATGAGGGCAACGAGGCGAGGGAGATGAGGACGACGAGGCGAGGGCGACGTGACGACCAGGACGAGGCAAGGGCGACAAGGAGAGGGTGACGAGGGAGATGAGGGCAAGGAGATGAGGGCGATGAGGCGAGGGCGACATGATGACCAGGACCAGGAGAGGGAGATGAGGGCGACGAGACGAGGGCGACATGATGACCAGGACGAGGCAATGGCCACAAGGAGAAGGTGACGAGGAAGATGAGGGCGATGAGGGTGATGAGGCAAGGGCAACGAGGAGAGGGTGATGAGGGAGATGAGGGCGACGAGACGAGGGCAACATGATGACCAGGACGAGGCAAGGGTGACAAGGAGAGGGTGACCATATGTGTGGTTCAAGTTAACTCTGTGATCTGTGATATTTTCCCTCGTCGCTCTTTCTAGAAAAAGATACCTAGTCGGGTATTTGTACACGTAGGTTACAGTGTGCTAGGCCCGGGTTACACTTAAATATAAATAAGTCATCAGCCTGTGCACAGAAGATGTGTTTGCATGTGTTTAAAGCAGGAACGTCCGTTTCCCCATCAGTTCCTTGAGTCCCTGCAGCACCTGAACGCAGCAGCAGCGCACGCTGAAGTGTTGTGTTGACTTCACTTTACTCTGAACAAAGTTGTGCAGCTGCTTGACACATGTCAGATGGTCATGTGACCAAACTGAGTGTTGTTAGGTTGGGCAGTTTACGCTTACGGCTTAGGCTGCTGAGATGCCTGAACTTCCTGTTTGAACCCTGCTTGTTTGCTGCGGGGGGTTAACGTGAGGACCAGGACAAAAAAAGGGTGATGAGGACGACGAGGCGAGGGTGACGAGGGAGATGAGGGCGACGAGGAGAGGGAGATGAGGGCAACGAGGCGAGGGAGATGAGGACGACGAGGCGAGGGCGACGTGACGACCAGGACGAGGCAAGGGCGACAAGGAGAGGGTGACGAGGGAGATGAGGGCAAGGAGATGAGGGCGATGAGGCGAGGGCGACATGATGACCAGGACCAGGAGAGGGAGATGAGGGCGACGAGACGAGGGCGACATGATGACCAGGACGAGGCAATGGCCACAAGGAGAAGGTGACGAGGAAGATGAGGGCGATGAGGGTGATGAGGCAAGGGCAACGAGGAGAGGGTGATGAGGGAGATGAGGGCGACGAGACGAGGGCAACATGATGACCAGGACGAGGCAAGGGTGACAAGGAGAGGGTGACCAGGAAGATGAGGGCGATGAGGGTGATGAGGCGAGGGCGACGTGACGACCAGGACGAGGCAAGGGCAACGAGGACGACAAGAGGGCGATGATGAGAGGGCAACAAGACGAAGTCGACGAGGCGAGGGCGACGAGGCGCTCACTGACAGTCTGTCCAAACATCACAGAGCAGACCAGTTCACGTTGAGGTCGTCTTGGATTTTGATGTCAGTGTTTGCGTGTCCTCGTCGGCCGCCACATTTCTCCCTGTTTGTCCTCATTTCACTTCTGTACTGCTGCTTTTATTTCTATTTTACTTTGACGTCTCTGCAGTCAAGATGTTTTTAAATTCCCAACAGGATTTTTGTGACAGCTCAACAGTTTTTTATTCTGTTCTAGTTTTAGTTGTATTATTTTTTTGATCTGACAAAGAGAAGCAGTGAGGTGGCTTGTGCACAAATAGACAGAAACCACAGAACACTGCATCAAATAAACACATTTCCAAGGACAAAACCACTGAAATGTCCCAAATGTTCTGGGATGAGCACACAAACGGTATGAATAACTGGTTAAGAGCCAGCTGCACCAGCATGTGGTGCTGTAAGGTCACACACAGACCAGGTGCAACAGAAGGCTTTACTAAGTGGAAATTTACACAACAAACTAGTTACTGCACAGAGATCAACTGTTACCTCGTATTTACAAAACAATTTAGTGAAATAAGCTTGAAGCGCGGTAATTTAATAAAAACTTTAGAAGGACTTTACACAAACACTTAGTGATGAGCTGCTGTAACATTGTCCAGCTTGTTCAGGCCAAGTTCAGTTCTGCTGACAGTTTGCTGTCACCAACCTTTCACCACTATAAGCCACCTGAAGCCTCTGTCAGCTGGTTTGTAGTGTGACCACAGGTGTGCAGTGGTGAACAATGTTTAATGTCTCTGGTTTTGTGGACTGTGTTTTTTCTATGATACCTTTTAGTTTTAATTACTGATGTTTTTTCTTCTGTAGTCACATTCCAGCTCAGCTGCACAATGCCCACCCCATTGACAGTACCTCCATCACACTGAGCCAGTGGCAGAAGATAAAAACTGAACTATCTGCAGCCCACCACCTCCTCTGGGAGTGGTCAGGGCTTTGTTGGCATTTGGGGGAACTGGCCCTTTAAGTTAGCACAACATGGTGCTAACAAAAAACAGGAGGTGGTAAATGACAACATACCGCTGTATGTGATGATGCGTTCAGTGGGGTCCCCCTCTCCATAGCGGGTGATGGGGGTGAGGCGGACCAGGTAGGACTCAGGTTTGACGAGTTCAGTCAGGTTGTAGGTCAACAGCTCTCCATCCTGGATGTGCCCCTCCATGGGAATCTCCTGCTCCCACCAGCGAGACTGACCCATCTGAAACGCAGAAAACATTGAAGGACAACAGCTGTGACTTTGTCTGTCGTTCCCCACAAACCCCGTCCAGAGACCAGCAGCACCAGTGAAAGTGGTGTCTACTGTAATGTGTGTGAGTCCAGACCCTGGTCCAGCTCATCGCTCTGTGCCGTAGACCTCCACTGTTGTCCACCAGCTATTAGACCCCCCCAGCGAGACACACCGCTGCACTGGGGGGCAGGTTTCCTCCTCAGGAAACATGGGAGGCTGTTTGTTTCCAGCAAAGGCTGAGAACGGCGTCGCTGTGCACGGAGCCACTGGTGTCTGTTGTGTTTACACTGCTCCACTGGCTTCTCACACCGTTTGTTGAACATTGACGGGCCTCACATTTCAGAATTCGTGACTTTATCACAAAGTTAACTGCGCAGCCAAGAGTCTGTAGCTCTGGTCTGTTACCACACATTTGAGAAGCATCTGTCTACTTCCCCTCTTCTTCTTCTCATCATTTTCTGTCTCATCAGCACTTCCTCCCTGCAGCACACTGGTTTCTATGAATGAAGACAGACGGGTTACCATGGCAACAAGCCTTCCTCCTCCGCCTCTCGGTTCTCTCAGGCCGATGCTGCAGGAGCTTCAGGATCATATCCAAGATGACAGTATGTGTCAGCACCGGTGGAAAGTATCTAAGTACATTTACTCAAGTACTGTACTGAAGTACACTCATGAGAAATCTGTACTTTGAGTATTTCCACATCCTGCTCCTTCATCCTGTGACTTCACTCCATGTCAGAGACAAACCGTGTACTTTTCACTACACTACATGTACCTGATACCTTCAGGTCCAGAACCAGATGAATCAAACCAAACCCAGTAGAACCATCAGACTCTATTGATCCCAGTAGGAAATCCACCAGCTACCCAGCAGGATGGAAAGTACTTCCCAGTATAAGTATATAAGGTAGTTACCATCAGCTCCACCTTTACCAGCTGCAGCATTAAAGTGATGGACACAGTAATTAGTCACTATGATCCAGTATCAGAGACGTTACTGGGACACGGGCTGTTCTGCCTATACTTATGAGGACCTTTACGTTCCTAACCTAAACCTGATCACAACTTTACCCCTTAAATCCTCAAACATCCATTTAAGGAAGAAAACTAATTAACATCATTTTGCAACAATGTCCTCATAAGCTCTAAAACTACAACTGGTCCCCACAAAGACAGAAGCACTGTGTCTGTCTGAATGTCTCCCACACACCACCACTGCAGTAGTCCCATTACGTCACCGCAGCAGGGACAGGACATGTGCAGGACATCAGCAGGGTCACGTGCTCTGCGATTCCCTATACTGCTTTCCTGGGAACTGGATGATCAGTTGTTTTACAGATCCCTCAGCCAGGGGCCTCGTGCATTCAGTTCTTTGTGAGGACAGTTTTTACACTTCCAATGTATGTGTAACATAACCTCCACATACACAGGAGCAGAACAGTGTTGATTAAACCTCTTTCTCAAACTCTGTGAATGACCAGAAAACAACTTTAAGCTTTAAACATCAGTGACTTTCTGCAGACTCCTCCTCTGAACAAAGGTGAGCTGAGTAGGAACAGTGTTTGCACTGAGCCTTTCCACCCAACAGCTTCCACACTCTGTAAATATGCAGACGGGCCACATGCACGCTTCTGCTGGATGTGAGCTCGTTACATTAAGCACCGGCACAGTTTTACACACACCATTCCTGTTCGGTCTGAGTATTGTTACTGGGTCATAAAGCTCTGGGACCAGTTTTACTGCCTTCATTAAAGTTTATCAGCTCCAGCAAACAAAGACCTCGTTCTCTGGTTTGTCACATTTATGACACAGTGCTTAACACTACATAAACCTCAATATGGAAAATGTAAGTTAGGAGATGAATAACACTGGATTACTAGACTAATAAAGTCTTTTTCTCTGTGTTGATCAGTACGTGAGGAAAGAAAACGTACGTCTTTCCACGAACTGCTGAATAAACCATGAGCAATGTTCGATCTCTGATGGAACCAGACAACCCTTCGTTTTTAACTCATAACTTTATTTATTTGTCTCCTAAATTCTCAAACAGGGCTTCTGCCAACCGCCGAGTGTTTTGAGGTCTGTGAACGGTCAGGACCCTGATCAGCCTCTGATCTGCCACTGAGCAAGCTAAAGCTGCTACAGGCACGATGTGGTTTAAGAGAGGAGGATTAAAGGAACAGTCCCACATTTTAAGAAACAATCTCGCTCTGATTATAATAAGTATTGTATTAAAGTGTAAGTCTGCCTTCTCCTCAGATATCAGCAGTGTGCTAGTTGACCTCTCAGGACTTTCTGGCTTCCTGTCTGTGGCTCTCTCTTGGCTCCTACTGAAGATGTCAATCTGGACAAATTCCTCACAAACATAATACTGATTGTGAAAAAGTCACAGTTGTTTCCTAAAGCAGCTGCTCACCTTGTCAAACAAACATTTTCTGGTGGTAACTCGTGTACTGACCTGGCGGATGCCGAGTCTGTAGGCCAGGATCCGGTCCACAGTGTTGGGCCTCATCTGAGTCCACTGCAGCTTGAAGCCATACACTCGGGGCCTATTCTGCCACAGAGCACTGTAGGTGTCGTAGTAGAACTCTGGAGTGTAGGCTTTGCCTGAAGAGACACAGGGGTCAGAGGTCACACAAAACTGGATCCAGGTCCAGGTAACAACAAACACAGACTCAAGACTGTCTCTGGTGTGTCCCCACAGCGATGCCTCCACTGATTCATGGCAATCAAACAAGACATTCCAGCCCGGACCCTCAGGACAAGGTTTTCACCGGTCCTGTAGTGGTGACTTGGTGCTAAGGGGGGGTCTACAACAGATTCAGTGGACCCAAACCGGACCCACGCTCCCAGACCACCTGTAACTAAATATGTTCACATCCTGAGCCTGTAACCAGTACCCTGGTCCAGCTCATCGCTCTGTGCTGCAGACCTCCACTGTTGTCCCCCAGCTATTAAACCCCACCCAGTGAGCCACACCGGGGGGGCAAGTTTCCTCCTCAGGACACACGGGAGGCCATCTGGTTTCAAAGAACTTCTCCTGTCTGCAAGACAGGAGATGAACATGAACCAGTCCTGTGTGAGAATACCAAGCATGTGAAACACAGTACGGTGCATAGTTTAGATTCCTAGTCTGTGAGCAGTCTGGGTGCTTGTAGTATCATTCTGGGTGGAGAGAAGATGTCTGCACAGTTCGGTCGGCACTAAAGTTTGACTGAGCTCCCACACTAGCCTTAATGAGCCAAATCAAACAGTTCTGGTTCAGAGCTCTCTAACCATCCTCTAGCTGACACAGCTTTAACACTGGCCAAGTTTTAGTCCGGGTAACACATGATGTCCATCACTCAGAGTGATGGGCACATGAATAATGTCGAGGTGGACCAAGATAGTTCGCACACACAAATCAACAAGAAGCCTCTTCCGTGGCTCAATCTGTCACACACCAGCTCAGTGCGAACCTCAGAGGCTCTGCCTTGTCTGTGTACAATCTCTTTTCCAAGTTCACCTGAGACACAGACATTAAGCCCGACACTGAGCTTTTCTTGTTGCCTCCCTCTGAAGGTGTGAGGAACAGTGTGACATTGTGCTGTGTCATCATGTGCAGGTTTTGTCTCACACCTCGGCGTCACGCTCTCTACTCTTGTCAGCTTCTTCTGGAGCTCTGCTGTCATCTCATTGGCTGCTGCAGGATGAGCGAGGTTTAAAATGCCACAGGCATGTTCGCACCTCATTAGCAACACAAACCTCACATCAGCAGCAACAAGCTCGACATAATCGCCATCATTTTCCATCAGCTCTCCATCCTCAGCTTACAAACGCTTTCTGCTGCTGCCTGCAGAACTCGCTGCAGCTCAGCGGCCGGCTTTGATAAGAGGCTTAACGTGGCCACCAGTTTTACAGGAGGAGGCTCGCAGCGCCGACAGGGCGTCTGTGCAGGGGAGCTTTCATCAGGAGAGGTCGGAGATACAAGTCAGGGAGCGATTCGTGTGTGATGCCTGCTGTTCACAGTCTGACACTCCACTCAGTTAAAGGACGCAGCCGGTGATGATGTTACTTCCCACAAACTCCATCCAGGGACTAACAGCAACACTCAATGTGGTGTCCTCACTGTAATGCGTGTGAATCCAGAGCCTGGTTTAGCTTATTGCTCTATGCCGTGGACCTCCACGTGGACCTCCACCACTTGATGGAAAAATACACACAAAGCTTTTCAGAGAAGACACAGATATGGTCCTTTAAATAATGTAGAAAGATGCCAGAACACATGCAGCAGAAGCACAAACATACAGCCTTTGTCAGACACTGGTGAAACTGTCCTACAGGTCTGTTACATTAGGTTTTAAAACCCTCGGCTGTTATTCCAGCAGCAGAGAGAAGGCAGCCGGAAAGTTTTTTAACTGAGAGTGAAGTGTTTGCTGTCAGCTGTGCAAGAGGATCTGAAGGCTTCCTGGAGCTCAGCACATTATTTATGACGTTCACACTCCCCTGAGGAAACGCTCTGCGATGCTTCTGTCTGCCAGCGTTCAGGATTTAAAGAGGAGATCAGCTGCAGTTAACTGTCGTTCTCTCATCCCCTAAATGTAAACACTTGGAGCTGGAGAACAGCCAACAGTCCCATCACACCTCCCATTAGCGGCTGCATGACAGGATCTGGTTCAACTGGGAAGCTTATACTTGGAGGCTGTTCAGCCTGCTCTGTAGGAGTAAACAAAGTCTGGTGGGGCGGGTGCTAAGTCTTCTTAAGTCTCAAGTTTTCTCAGGGCAAGTCTCAAGTCATTGAGAACAAGCCCATTTCTGATCAAGGACAAGACCAAACAAGACAAGACGTGACTCGGTGTCAAGTTTGGTCTCAAGTCATTCAAGAGAATTCCAGATGAAGTTTCAAGTAGCTTAAGACAAATTAAGTAAAAACTAGCGTAGTCTCGTTGTGCGGAGGAATCTGCAAGTCTTTTGATACAACTCAGAGACATTTGAGACAATTCCAAACGAAGTCAATTTAAGAAATGTTCTAGTCGACTCTAGTTGAATTAACTGATTAGAGACGAGTCCCAGTAAAGTCTATAATATTTCGAGACAACTCCAAATGGAGTCTCACTTTTTTTGAGACAAGTCCAAATAAAGTCTTGTCACAAGTTTTAGTCAAGTCTGGTTGTCTCAAGTCATTCAAGTCAAGTCTTGTCTGAGACATGTACAAATTAAGTCTTAAGTCATTCAAGTCAAGACTCAAGCCATTCGAAGACAAGTCAGGTGTCTGTTCATTTCGTGTGATCATCTGTGACTCCACACAGGGAAACAATCTGTCCGGAATAAGGACATCTAACCAAGTCAAACACAAAGTCCCATAATGCCTCAGTGAAGCTAACTCACCTGTGACTAGGAAGGTGCAGCGGCCCGCCCCGGCCTCATTGGTGATGTCACAGGTGTACTCTCCGTAGCCCTCTCGGTTCAGAGCTCTGACATTGTAGCTGGTTTCGTCCTGCTGATCGCCAAGCTGCCCGATGGTGAGGAGGCGGGAGCCCAGCTTCCACTCGTATCGCAGGAGGCGGGCAGGGTGAGCTCGCAGCAGGCGACAGGTGAGGCCGAACGCCCGGCCGAGAGCCTGACGGATCTCCAAATGCACCGGCTCCACCACAGGAGGGACTGTTGGACAGAGAGGGAACATGGGATTCCACAGCCAAAACAATACCAGAACTATTATTCAACATTATCGGTGTTTCCGTCTCCATAAACTCAAGTCATCTCAAATCCGAAGCGAAGTCCATCACCCAGACCCTGGGTAGTTTTTGCACCTCTCCATCACATTTCTTCAGGCTGTGTCGTCTTGCTGTTTGACTTCGATTTGTCCACAGGGATCAATAAAGTTTAATGTAATCATCGGCTCTGAAGCTGACCACAGCTCCATCTTAAGCACTTCTTAAGAACGCTCACCCTACACCTAGTTCTAACCTGAATGTTAAAACCAAGTCTGGACTTTTAAAAAGTGTGTGGAAACAGTGAGGACCTGTCAAAATGTCCTCACATTGCAGAAATGCACTTAAAACTGAAAGTGGTCCTGACTCCCTGGAGGTTTGCGGTGACCAGTTCAGCTGCTGACAAACTGAGCAGGCACTTCACACAAACAAAAAATGACCTGACTGATCCATTTTATTGTAAAGTTTCAAATCAAATCACTATGTTTCAACACTTTTCATTTGTTTTGATGTCATCTGCTGAGCCTGTGTCTCACTGTATCACACTAATTAAACAAATGATTCCAGACTGGGACTAAATTTAACTCCATTCCATCCCCTGCTCTCTCTTCACTCTTTAAAGAAGCCAAATATGTCTGTAGAATAACCTTACACCTCTTACCGTAAGTATTTGAGACATCCAGACTCAGACAGGCATTAACCTGCACGCCACAGCGCTCTACTAAGAGGCAGAAAGGCAGAGTCTGAGCTGTCTGGAACTTCCTCAGAGGATTTCTGCCACTTTGCGGGTGACACCTCACAAAGTAACATCCTGCAGCGGCTGCAACCAGCAACCTCTGAGGAAGCATCTGACTCCTCTGTGACGAAGAGAGTGCAAACGCTGCCTGGCTCCACAGTGGGAAGCTTATACTTGGAGGCTGTTCAGCCTGCTCTGTAGGAGTAAACAGTGCCACTGCTCCACTCAGGCTGCATGGTCAGGGCTGCTAGACGGGCCAAGTCATGTCAGACTGACGCCATTTTTCAGCACGCCATCATATTAATGCTTGAATTTAATACCTTAAAATGTTTGTGTTAATTCAACTTTTGTCGGTTTATCTAAGGGAACACATGTGCTTCTCCTGCACTGAAATACAGCTGGGTGCTCTGCCCGTCAACATGTCAGTAAACTCTTTACCTCTGCTCAACACACCTCAGCACAGCACTGACGTCCACGGCCATAAGCTGCCTCAGAGTTTTGATTCAGAAACCACAGTCATCTGCATCTCTTTTTATTCTTGTGTCTGGTCATTTCTATATGAACACAGTGATTGTTTTATGGGGACCTGCACCTCAACACAGTGCTGATGTCCTCATAATTCATGCTAAGAAAATGACCTTGGGGGGACAGTTACAGGTTTCTCCTTTTATTCTTTCATCTGTTCACCACTTTGACGAAATGGTGCACGTTGGTAACTTGTTGTTTGAGACGGGAGAGGAGGGTGTTTGTCAGAGGGACTGTGGGGACGTCACCTCTGCTCATCACTGGTCCCTGTAATCCAGTAAAAAGACTGTGAGGGATTAAATAACTATTATTTGAAATGCTGCTCCTCAGCTTTAATTTCTAATCATGTGGATCCATTAGCAAATTTAAGTCATTAGAATCACAGCAGGACACAATTAATGACCAATTACTGACAAACTGCATAGAAACAAATGCATTTTGTGTCCATTTAGTTTGGGTTTTCACTCTTAACAGGTCTGACATGCAGACATGCACCTATGTCCATGTGATTTGATGCCTCTTCTCATTTACACTCAGATCCAGACTTTATTTTTCTGCTGTGAACTTTCTCAGCAAGGATCAGAGAAATTTGCTTTCAGTTGGAAGTTAAATCTGTGTGAGACTTGAATATCATTTCTCTTATTTCACTGTAATCCACCTGCAATCTGCCCTCACTTTAATCAGCTTAGTGTTGTTACAGTGAAAACAGCAAACGCAGCGCAGGACTCGCAGAGAAGAGAATCCACGTTCCTTCTTACATAAGTAGAACGAAAAAGCTCTGCATCGGAAACGTGACTGTGGGTATGAAGCCAACAAGTATCAGCAGTAAAATCAACTGTACTGTACCCGTGACCCAACAGTACCAGTAGTGGCAGAGAGGGATGCTCACTGCTGAAACCCGTTTCCACTACCAGAACTTAAGTCAGACAACACGCACACGACCCACTAGAATACGCTGGTGTTTTAATGCACTTTATGTTGTAGATCTTTAATTTAATTATCAATCACATGACATTATTTTCACTCAAAGCATTTTTACTTTAAAACGTGTAACAGAGTAAATTTTACTCTGTAAGTGACCTACTCTACTTTTATCCAAGCAGATATTTGATTTACTTGGATAAAATGTCTTTAAAGGGACAGTACTTCCACAGCTTCCCTGGCTGTATCAGTAAAAAGGTCTTGACTGTATAATTTCATGTGCATTTGATGTTGACTTGCTTTTCCCTCCCGAGTTCTCAAACTGCTCGGCTTGACTCTCCACAGAATCAGAAGGAGATTCGCTCTGACAGTGTTTTAGTGCAGCAGGAAGCCAGGAGCAGTGTGTGTGCAGCTTTCTGTCACATCGTCTGACGGCAGGTGACTGGAGGGTCACGGATTCGATCTTCATCCGCAGACAGACGGCATGCGTCAGCCTGGAGTCGAACCTGCCTCCACCTGCTGGTGTGCGTTTCACCTCGCACACGTGCTGCCTTCTGCTCTGATGGATGTGATGCAGTTTGATCGGATGATGTGACATTTCCTCTGCAGAAGCAGCACAGCTGTCGCACGCTGGTCTTTGTTTATGTCGGCAGCAGATGTTACATTAGAGACTTGAAATGTGCAGTCAGGGATGAAGAGAGGACACTGAACATGTTCACATTTCCAAACTGCAAGACTAAAAGAGGACACCTGACAAAAGCAGCGTTTTTACAGCCTGGGTCTAAACCTGCTACTTTTATCATCTGTCTCATGCTTCAGTCGGGCTCCATCACATGGTTTAAAGCCTCCATCATCCACCCACTGTCTGC